AAAATAATATTAATAAAAGTGCCCGCAGTTTAGTTCCAAGATAAATTTTTTCTCACTTTTCAGGGTGAGGATGGGGAGCTCGCCCCCCACGCCTCTCCCCTGGATCCGCTTGTGCAAATATTTTTTTAAAATAATTTTTATATCGTACATCTTAATGCTGAGTTGAGAAACAAAATGGAGAATGCCACGCCTACGTTCTCCTTCCTTGAACGGTTGCTCCGCCCCTCTCTTTCTTAAGAGGATTTCTCCATTTTGTCTCGGAACATTTTTAAGATTGGATAAAAATGTATATATTACAATTAATACAATCATTATTTAAATATATATTTTTAAAAACTTATATGAAAAAGAATTTTAATTCAAGAATTAGTCACTTTGTGGATAAAAAAAAATCTTTACTATACACTTTTCAGATATTTGATTCTTGATATTTTGTCAATTATTATATAGTAAGTATCTATTCATCAATATTTTGTACATTTAATTAAAAATATCAAAGAACAATTTGTTGACGTATTTGTAGTTTTTATTTAATCGAAATCCATCGATAGAAGTCTGTAAAATCAAGTTTTGAAAATTATAAATTGTTCCAATAACAAATCAAGGGAATTTTTTTTCTTGCGATATTTAAAAAAATTGATGGAATACCTTTTGGAAAACATCATATCAATTGTTTAATATACAGATATGATTATAGCATTATATTCGAATCCATATAGTGATATAGAATTTTTCGAAAATAATGAATTTTATACTATACTGATTAAGTGTAGGGATATCATTCGTTTTACTTGTGTAATACATATTTGAAAGGGGAGTTCATATTTTTATGGAATAAGGCATTTTTGTGAAAACCAAATTTTTTCAATGTAGAGAAACTTTCGAACCAGGGAGCTAATGAAAACCTAGAATAGACTACAAGCGTAATTGTAAATAAACTACAATTTTTATAATTATACTTTCACTAGCACCATTTTTTAAGAAGAGGAGAGCAATATTTCTTTGAAGAGGGAGAGGGTCATGCACCATCAACCATGGGGGGAGAGGGCATCCTTAAGTAAGTCATCATTTTATAATATTTTGTAAGTTATTGCTTTTATTCGATGAAAAAAAAAAAACCTTATTCAAAAAATAACAAATCCCAACGATATTAACCATAGGCTTTTTGGTGGGGAAAAGGAGCATAATATTATATAAAATAGCATAATAGGAAGCATATGCAATAGCATCACATTTTTGTAATAAATCATTTTGGTCAAAAACTCATTAGGCAGACATAACTGGAATCTTGAGTTCTTTTTTAAACTTACTTTATTCACTGAACTTTATTAACGTTTTAATTTATTTTTAAGAAGCTTAGTAGGAGGGGGAGAGATGGCACATGGTTCCAATCGGATGTGATAATTCAAGAAAAGTCCTGAGGGATCTAGATAGCATTTTAAACATTAAATTCACGGGTAAGAGTTAGATCTTTTATTTTTTTTTTTAAGAATTTAAGAAATTCCGAACAAATTTGAAATTTCATCACTAAAGAGAACACCATTTTTGTCGCGTATCAATGAACTTTTAGCTACTCTGTATGAGGATCCAAACATTTTAGAAAGAGGGACATATTTTATTTTGAAATTATTTTTGAAAAATATTATCTTTTATATTTAATGTAAATTAAACGAATATGATGATTTTGACCATCATGCAAATGCTACTGATGATCGTAAGTAAATAGATATTGAATATCATTTCTGGGTAATATTGACTGGTTTTATCAAACGAAGAATGCGTGAGTATGAATAATCGATAATTTTATAAAATATGGCAGAATCGTATAAAAGAATTTGTAATAGGGTCCTTGCTTTTAGACTTACAGGATACATTTGGATATTAAAGAAACAAAGAATATGTATAAGTATTAGGTTCCAGATACTATTCTCACGTGTAATATATATTTTGCATTCTTTTGAAAAATGCCATTGACAATTCGCTTCTTTTAATATTGTAAAGAATTATAGTTAATTTCTTCTGCTGTTAATCAGAAGATGCTGTTTGGCAGTGTAATTGGAATTTTAGCCTAAATGAAAAATTCAATCGGCGAACCCGATTTACAAACCGAACGACTGAGTATTTGCCAAGACCGCCAGTTTTTAAAAGACTGGAAAATTTAAGATATTAAAAATATAGGACAAAAAAAAAATTAAATTTCGGGAGAAAAACAAGATTTTTTATTTTTGAAAAGAAAAGCTACGAAGAGCAAGAGTTTTTTATTAATTACTTTATTCTCAAAGGTACGTACAAAATGATATAGTTTAAAGCACAACAGAAACGCCTGTAATATTCCCGCGATTATCAACTAGCAGGAAGAGCCTGTAAAAATCCAAGAGGAACTGTTAGTTTATTCAGGGGGCACATTCCCCTCAAGAGTAATGGCTAATGCACCCCCTCCCAAAAAAACATTACCATTCTTCTCTTATCAAGAACGGTGGGAGTGAGGGAATTGTAATAGTTTCAGTTTATTTATAATTACCCTCGCTGTGGTCTATTTCATTCTTTTCTTAAGTTCCCTACTTTGCAAGTTTCACAAATTGAAACCCGAAAATATGGTACACTCCAAAAATTTATAACAACGAAAAAATGTGGCTCTCCCCAAACTTGCCTTTTCTAATATCCCGAAATGGTTTCCATAAATGCTTCCCAGGTATTTCTGAGTTTATGTTAGGTATTGCACAGTTTTTAAAAATAAAAAGCCTTTAACCGAATATATTGGAAATACCTATGTTTTCTTAACGGTAATTATAACAAAAATATCGAACTTAAAAAACTATTCAGTAAATAACAAACCGAAAAACTTTAAAAAAAACATAGTATTTAGCTGTATGTATCGGTTTAAAACTGGCAATAAATAAACTAGAATCTGTAAAGTTTGTAATGTTAGGGGGGGGGATCCTTGAAAAAAGTAGTAGGGCTATAGATAATATGCATGGTATTAGAAATCGGAACCTGCAAGCAGGGTATGCGTAAACAAGCATATTTTAATGAATTAAATAATAATAATAAAAGGCTTAGCGAACCCGAAGGTTCGATGCCGACACCACCAATCGCTTATTACACACCTCACTCCCCGTCCAGATTGGCTTTAATGCAATCTTCCCACCTTCGCTTCGGTCTATCCTTCGGACGTTTATCATTCGGTACAGCCAATATTAACCTTTTGGGAATTCTCTCGTTACTAAGCGCAACAACTTTACAAGCCCATTTGATTCGCCGCGATTATAATGATTTAAACTAAAAATATATAAATGCAATTGGATGTTGGAAAACCACTCAACCGTTTGGAATACTGACTAGTTCCTTAGGCTGAACGAAAACGAACTCGCATCAAATTCCTTCTTTGAACCCGAAATAGAAAAATGATGTACCCTGAGGACTGTTGATGGATATTTCTTGAGTCCATCAAGACATGAAATTTTCATCGGCGTGGGGGAGGGGAGGATAAATCTCGTTGTTGGAACATTGTGTTGACAACACTGGATCCAAAGAACATCGTTATAAAGCGAATTAGACACTTCAAATGAAGCCTCAACCCTATGTCCTTCATTTGCGGTCGTGGAACTCATTCCTTTTTGCAAATTTAAAAGAGAAAAATTATTCATGATATTAAAAGAAAACATAAATTTTAAAGCTGTAAGATGAAGACTAACTGAAATATACGTAATATATTACTTAAATTATTTTATTCATGATGTTGATCCATATCCCTGATTTCTTAGAATGATAGATTCCCCGCGTTATTTTAACCTTTCTATTTTTATTTATCATTTTCTACAAAGTGTCACTACTTACAAACAAACCAGATATCGTTACCATTAAAGGGACTATTATATCAATTAGAAAGGGAAAATAAAAATTAGTATCTCGAACTCTAATAATTTTGGGCTTTCTTCAAAGTTTATGTGTGAAAGAAAAATATCACCAACATAACAACTAATGTCGTTCACAGGTATGGATAATAGCCAAACAATTTTAATAATCTGCTACAAATATAAAATAAACGCACAGCTATAGAACAAGGGTCTGATGTCGGATTTTTATGACTATATCGTCACAGCCTTATGAAGTCGTTCATAGATCGAATTATAAATCAATTAATTATCAAATGCTGTCTCAACCAGATCACGTTTGATAATGGACAAGTTTGTGATAAAGAAAGATTCCTTGATGATTGATCCTTTCTTTTATTAAAACTTTTTTAAGGATCCACTGGAAAATATGCTGATAAGAAAAGCCGACATCTTGCCGAATATCCAAAATATCTTCATCTCTAGTGCGACTTATTTTTTGCGTTTGAGATGGAAGATTACATTTGTTTAGAGAATAATATTAACTCTGATAACTAATCACTTGTGAAATACTTAGATAAAATCTTCCACGATGAAAAAAATGAGGACATGAGACGTTTTGAACGATCTGGTGAAGAAAAATATTTAATAGTATGAATGAAGACTTAATAGTATGAATCCATGATTAGAGAGAGTTGAAGATGAATGAACATACTTAGCATGAATTTAGATATTTATAAATTTTGGAATGTCTTTATTCAGGATTTGTTGGTAAGGGAGCATAATTATTGAAACAACCTTAACAAATTGCAATTAGTAACTTTTTGAAAGACTTGATGAGAAAAATAACCATTCTTCATAGCATGCAACAGGGGATCAAACTTTTTTATCTGAATGAATGGAATTCAAATACATATTTTGCAACTTGTGCTCAGTTATATCTTGTGTTGCATTCAATTTTTTTTAAAAAATGAAATAGGTATTGTGTCCGTTTTATATTTAAGCTAAAATAATAAACAAACTGCTGAGCAGTACCGTGTGTCAAAACATTATACACGGAAACTTTCTCAGCAGAGTTCTACTTGACAGCTAAAACCTCGACAAGTCAGAGGATAGATATCACATATCAATCAAAATTGCTCCCATTGAATTATTGAATAAACTTACCATTGGTGAGCATCTTGAGAACAGTGAGAACTGTTATAGCTTGGACCATATTGGGTAGGTATGTTTTCATTTTGCAGTGACTCTCTCCTCAGAACAGACTCTCCGTTGGCATGACTGACTCTGACCGCGGACTAGCTCTGACTGGTCCGATGAGGGTCCGGTTTTGCCCTTGTACCCAGCCGGATACCCTTTGTCCGCCCGCACTTCCGGCCAGTCAATGTCCGAACCCTACCCCCACCCTCTATGTCTGCCCTCAATTTCTCACCCCCTTTACGCAGGGTATTGAAAAAGAAATTCCGGAGCTACCGGGTAATGGAAGGAACAAAAGGTTACCGAAAAGTAGGAAACGAAAAAAATGAAAGAACAAACTGCAAATAAGTCTACCATTTCCTAAAACAAAATATCATCCTGCATAACTCGGAAACGAGGAACTATTTTTCTCATACTTACTGATTATTACGCAAAGTTCTCAAATACGATTTCTTTGCGCTCACATTTCTTTCATCACTTTTTATCCGTGGTACAAGACCCCTTTTTATCAAATTATTACATTCGTTTAAAACTTCGTGAATAGGTTCATCTTATCGTAAACTACAATTTTTTTACCAACCAAATTTCTCGGAAATTTGGCGTTTTCAATCAAGGAGATTGGTAAATTCTGTCTATTTAATGAGGTACTAAAAACTCACAAACGCACATTTGCTTTCTATTTGAATCGTAAGATAAGGTTATCTCAAAATCGGATCTAAGAGGGGGAGGAGAGGGCTTTGAGGCTGAAGCCGCCCCCCCACCTCCAAATGGTTAAATATAACCATGTTTTATGAAAAAAAATATTTAAAAAAATGTCTCTAAACGTATTATTGTTCGTGTAATAACATTTAATAGGACTTCAAGATTCACTTAGACCACCTAGACACCGTTTCAGGGATGAACAGAAGGGGATTTCATGGCGCAAGTTATGAGGGAGCCACATTTTGACCGGGCTTTGAATTATTGAAGAGGGCACATTCTTTTAATGAAATGTTTCAAACTAGAGGACAAGGGAGAAAATGGAGCAGAACGCAGCAAATTAAATTGTATATGATTTATGATTTTTTATTTCTATTTTCACATGAACTGTTTTTGAAAAGAAGAAGGCAATAAAATGTTTTGGCCTTGGGAGAGATGGGCACCACTTAGTTGTTATAATAAACTAATCAGGTAGTTTCTTTCTTGTTCTTGATAAGTAATTAACGTTATTTTGTCTATGTTTTATATATATATATATATATGGACCATCTACATGCTACCATGTAATGCGAACAGAAAAAAAGTATATATATATATATATTTTTTTTATTATTATTATTATTTTTTTTTTCTGTTCGCATTACAGACCATATTGGTCTTTTGCCCCTTAACATGCCTCTTCCATCTCTGCCTGTCTTTGGCTATTTCATTCTATTTATCTGCACGCAGCTCTGTTTCATCTTTGTTAAGACGTTATATATATATATATATATATATATATATTAAAAAGTTTTCGTACTGAAGAACTCCTCCAAAATTAAATCATGGATCCTCTAGTGGTGTGACCTCTCCACGCAACAAGTCAAAATAAAGATGTTATACAGCCCAAACGGTTCAATAACGATTTTGAATTTTGTGATCAAATTATTTTACGATTCAAATAGAAATCAAACTTGTGTTAATAAGTTTTTATATCCTAGTTAAATGAATTCATTTAATGATAAAAACGGCCCATTTCTGAGAATTGTATGTAAAAAAGTTGTAGGTTACGATAAGACACGGGTCGATCTACGGGGGGGAGGAAGGGGGGGGCTTTCGGGCTGAAGCCTCCCCCAAAATGATAAAATATAACCATGTTTTATGAAAAAAATTATCTTTAAACGTATTATTGTTCGTATGATTACAGTTAATAGGACTTCAACAATCACTTAAAGACCATTTCATATAGGTAGTTAGTTTCTTTCTTTATTCCGAAGTCATTATCCTAATATATTTATACAAAAAAAAGTCTTTCGGGCTGGAGCCCCCCTCCCCAAAATTAAATCCTGGATCCGTTAGTGCGTCAAGATGCATTCATGAAGTCTTAGATGGATGTTAATAACTTGATAAAAAGGTTTCTGTACCGAGCATTATTTGCGCTTCTTATCTCTCTTGGATTCATTTTTTTCCCAATTCTACAGTTATAAACTTCTGATCTAAAGTTTTTTTCTGGTTTGAATGTCCTCTTGTGTTATCCTTAATAATTTTAGGTACATTTTTATTTCACTAATCCATTTAATAGTGTCAGTTACATCTTATCTCCAGTTCTCATACAATACGACTATTTTTCAAGTAATGTGGTTAGAGTTCTTTTGATATGTCCATAATAATTTTACTCCATAAAAAGTATAAGTTTCCTAATTGTTTAATAAAAATGATAAATGTTTCAATTAAATAGTCTTTTTATCGTCTTAATTGTAAGCTGATTTAACTATGCAGACATTGTAGACGTACTATATATTTAAATTAGCACTATTTTCAATTTACAATAAGCCAAGGGACCAATCCGTTGAGTTGAATTTTTTCACTGAATATTGCCACCTTATTGGTTATACTTCAATACTGTGTTATCTACCCCAGTCTTTATTTTATTGCTACCACCAAGAGCCGTTGTATAAACTCTAGAAAGCTGAGGGTCTCTGTGAAAATTGTTTTAATTTTGGAACTCGCTTTGTTTCGATAATTTAATTTAACTTTCCATATTTCATAATTTCTTTTTGTTATCTGTTTAATCTGTTACTTTTATTTCAGGAAATGGTAATATATCATATTATAATACTATATATTATATTATATTATGTATATATATATATATATATATATATATATATATATATATATATATATATATATATATATATATATACATATATATATATATATATATATATATATATATATATATATATATATATGTATGTATGTATATATATATATGTATGTATATATATATATATATGTATGTATATATATATATATATATATATATATATATATATATATATATATATATATATATATATATATATATATATATATATGTATATATACAGGGTGTTTCAGAGTTAAGTGGCCAAACTGAAAATATGAATTAAGGGCCTCAAAACAAAAAAAAAAAATTCCTATGAAGGCATACCCGCAAACGCTTGGTTTAGGAGATATTTCCACCTAAAGATTTTCATTGTTATAAATTATTTAATAATAATACTTTATTTATTCTGGGACGAGTCCCTGTAGAATTATGCAGAAAGACATAAATATGGGCTAAGGAGCCTTAGAGATACATAAATAAAAATACAGAGTAATTAAACAGTCATAGAAAAATTATAAGTTACTTTCAAATTTTAATCAGTTAATAATAAAATAAAAAAAATTGAAAAAAAAAAGGATGAAGTAAAAATAATGAAGAACGAACTAATAATTTATATACATATTTACATTAGTATCTATTTACAATTTCATGGGGATTGGATGGATAAGAAATGATTGAACAGGCGGGATTTAAAGACAGGAAGGGTATTGGATTGACGAATGTGAGAGGGGATGGAGTTCCAAAGTGATGAGGATCGAATAATGAAAGATCTGTCGAAAGCAGCGGTTCGGTTATGTTATATATATTTACGTTATATTAAGTCAATAAAACTTATTTATCTGTTCCAACTACTTTATTAATTATACGCAAACATTAAATTCATATTAAATGCGATTTCCTAGATATTAAGACAAGATCGGCATCTTACTTCAACAGCAGCAGTGGCAGAACGTCACTGGATATGTTTTATTGTTTCACAAGATTCAATTATCCTTCTTCGTAAGGAATTAAGGTCATTGACCGGACTTGCATGGACATTTTGTTTATGCATCAAACCATATCGGCATATTCACCATTAGTATCAATGGAAGGCATAAAGATGAGTACTCTGCGAAAGCCTGTCACAAACTGATAAATGTTATTGAGAGTTCCCAATGCTAATTCCAAATAGTATTAATCCTCATGTTGCCAATATTTTTTATACAGTTAGGGATAAATGGCCATATTAGTATTCCATCTAATCCATCTCCTAAACAAAGCTTTTGCGGACATACCTTCACTTTGAACAACATTTAATATGAATGTTAATCGCAGAGAAGGATGGTTGTGGTGATCAGTCGAAATAAAATAGTAAAAATAAATAATTTTATTTATTTTTTATTAATTGTATTTATTTTTTGGTTTTTGGTCCTTAGTTCATTTTTGCAGTTTGGCCACTTAACGCTGAAACACCCTGTATATATATTATATTACATATATTGTATGCCGTACGGTAAGATATCTTATTTGATTGGGCAGACCTTCATTTTTCAGAAAGATCAGGATAAAAAATATGGAATTTTGCAATTTTCTGAAATAAAAGTAATAGAAAATAGAAAAAAAAAATTAAATATGTAATGTTAAATTTAAATATGTTAAATTTATTATTTTTTCTGTAAATTTAGTTAAATTATCGAAAAAAGCGAAGAATTCCAATATTAAAACAATTTTCACAGATGCACTCAGCTTTCTAGAGTTTATATAACAGCTCTTGGCGTTAACAATAAACAGCAAAGACTATAGTGGATAACAAATTAGTGAACTATTTTATAAGAAGGTAGTATTATTTAGAGGAAAAAATTATATCATCACAACGGATTGGTTCCTCGGCTTGTTTTTAATTGAAAATGAATTTAAATATATCTAAATTGTCTGCAAGGTTAAATCAGTTTACTTTTAAGAAAATAAAAACACTTTAAAATTAAAACATTTACCACTTTTATAAAAAATTGGTTTGTTTGAAGACTTTTTGACACAACTGTATATATATATATACACACACACACACGCACACATATATATACATATTCTTAAATCAAAACTTTTTTTGCGGTAAATATCTCTTTTTGGATTGCTTTAATCAGTTAAACTAATACACTTTAACTAAAGAATAAAGATACCTACAACAATACGAGTATGTGCACCTAATATTTTATATCTCTGTTTTGCCA